ATGGCCCACCCTGTAGAATAACTCTGAACCGATTATAATGTTCATAACAAGACAACTAAAGACTCAAAAAATAAACCATAGCACAGACAAAACACCAAAATACAAGAAACTGAAAATGCTGGGTCAAAATGACCCAAAACGGTGACAGCAACAGTGAGTTTTACTGCCATCTCTCAAACATGGTGAAGTCTCTGTCATGGTTTGGGGCTGCGTTTCAGCCAGTGGTGTTGGACGTCAGAGTACAATCATTCTGACAGATAAAAGTGTAAAACTGTTCTCTGTCAGAATGAAACATCCAAAGAAGAGCTTTAAATGTCCTTCCAGATGCCTGGAGAACTGGCGACGTCCTAAACAAATTGGAGAAGGCTGCCTCAGAGGGTTCAGGCTGTGTTGGTAAAACCAAATTTTGAAAATTATTAGCTTTATACAGTCTCTATTTGTGCCTATGCCTATGTTGTATTTCCTTGTGTGTTTCCACATGTGTCGAGGAAATGCTGCACCTTCCTGCAAAATACGAATAAATGACAGTTGGCTCAAGATTTTTGCCAAGTTTTGTGAGCTTGATCCCTGGCGTGGATTCTATTCTGCTCATCTCCAGCTCCATAGTTTCCCTGCAAGACTCATGATTCAGGATTTGTTATCGCCATCAGCTGCATGTTTGCTGAGGTCTCACCTGGATGTTAATGAGGTCAAACACCTGCGTGAGATCTGTTGGAGTGCTACAGCTGCCTGCAGATGTGAAAATCAACTGCTGGCAGCCCTGACATCACTTCCTGCGGCCTGCAGAGACCCACTGACACTCTGATGCCGTCTTCGGGCTCGAGAGGGAACTTTGTCACTCCCCCTGATGAGCTCTAATGTGTTGGGGTTAATGGGAGCAATCAGAGGGTTAATTAGCCCTCGGCTGCGCCTAGCAGCGACCGGAGTGTTATGAAAGTAGCAGTGGTGTGGACGGGTGACACCAGCATGCACCTCTTTAACACATTGGGGTAAATTTGGACTGAGAGGAGGATCAGAGAGCTGGAAGTGATCTGAATATCTCCTCGTCTGAATATTTAACCATCAAGCGATCAAGGAAACGAGGACAGACACAGAAAATCTTTACCACCTCACACCACAACCTGCATTCTTTTTATATTTAAGATCATTATTTTAGACGAAATTATTAGGGCTTTGACTTTGTGTTTTCTACGTTACAGGCTGCTGTGATGAGCTTTCAGACTTATAAAATACAGTATGAAATCTTGGTCTGTATTTGTGTTTATCCAACTTATACATTCCTTAAAGTCAGGTAAAATGTTTAAATTGTTCTAATGTAGTTAGTTATAGCCTACAAACAGTTTTATGTAGAAAGAGTTAGAATTAGCTTCTCCCAAATTAAGCAACATTGACAGATTTTCAGGTTAAACCATGGAAATGATCTACAGAGACCAAACTAGTTTTTATATCAGGCTGTAAACATTTTTATTTTTACGGTACATTTAGACATTTTAACATGGGAGTCTGTGGGGACGGTTAGACGTTTGTAGCCTCTTGTGGCCGCCTCTAGAAACTGCAGCTTTTAGTTCTTCACTGCTGGCCTCATGTTGCTGACATATTTGCTTAATACTCACGTTACTAATTCGTTGTAAATTACATTTTTTAGAAAGAAAACTTCCCCTGAAATCTCTGAGCATGTCTGAGTGTGTGTGTGTCAGTGACTCAAAGGTCAGACGGGTTCTTAATTTACTGCTCATATCTGGATTAATTTCAGTGTGAGACAAGAAAGAGATCACATGAAGAAGAAACCTCAGGAGACGACTTTCAAAGACATCCTCCTCCTCTTCCTCCTCTGACATATGAGCTGTAGGTGGGAAATAACAAGAACAGAAATAATAAGGAAGTCGTTCCAATTACCAGATAAAGATAAATCCAATAATGAGATTATTGGGATTCTGATAGGAGTGAAGTGATGTAAACTCTGGGGATGATCAGAGGGCACAGAGCTGTTTCTTCATCCTGTTAACATTTTAGCAGCGAGAAGGTGAACTTTGAAATCCATCCCTGCTTCCTGTCGCTGTGATCGGTTAAATGTTTGCTTTCTTTTACATTAAATATATTTGTGATACGGTTAACTAACTTTTTAATGGTGTCCCGCAGGGATCAACACAAGGACATCTTGCATTCTGTTCCAGTGAACATTTGACATTCAAGAGGTTATGTCTGTTTTACCTTGTGTTTTGTAGACACTCTCCTGGAAATTTATGAGGACACTTAATTCAGCTTTGGACCCATCTTACATCTCTAGATGAACAATATTGATCCAGTATGAGTATACATATGTACATTTGAATCATTAGTTTTTGTACTATGTAATTTTTACATTTTCGTGTAAACATTTTCAGTTTTCTCACTCTCGTATTAAATTTACACTAATTTACATATTAAGTGTAAGTTCTTTGAAATAGGCTCTGACTGAAACATGAAGATGGACACTGTTTTATTTTAGCAGATTGAAAATCTAAATGCAGATTCCAAAGGCAGGCAGCAAGAAACACGACTCAAAGCTTCAATTATAATAATAATGGACTGCATTTCATATAGTGCTTTTCGAGACCCCAAAGCGCTTTACAATTCCACTATTCATTCACTCTCACACACTGGTGGAGGCAGCTACAGTTGCAGCCACAGCTGCCCTGGGGCAGACTGACAGAAGCGAGGCTGCCATATCGCGCCAACACCCCCCTCTGGCAGGTGAAGTGTCTTGCCCAAGGACACAACGACCAAGACAGACAGAGCTGGGGATCTAACCAGCAACCTTCCAATTATAAGATGAGCTTCCCAACCCTCTGAACCACGGTCGCGCAATTGCAAGTTGAAGAAAAAACAAAAAGTCCAAATACAAAATCACACCTGCTGAATATACGATGACTCAGAAACACAGCTAGACACTGCTCCGGCTCACTAGTCTCTCCAAAGGATTGAAGAATGTGGTCCTAACTCTTACATCCTGAAATATGTACGAAAGCAGCCTGATACAGCTTCAACTCCTGGATCAAACCACGAAATTCTCTCTGCTGTTACCTTCTCGTGAGAACTGGATGAACTCAGAATCTCACTTTCTTCTTTTTCTTTTTAGGAACATCATCGCTTCATGTCACCTTCATTTTCTTTCCACAATCCGTTTTTTGAGGACATATTTTTTTCCACGAAAACAAAACATGTTCCCGGTGTAAGAACGTTACATGGTAAGTTCAGATCCATAAAATTGGGAATTTCATGCCGTTTTTATGCAACACGTTCAGTGAGTAACAGCCTTAAAGCAACTAAATAAACTGGAGGCAGTGAGCAACACAAGGATGACAAACAGGAACATAAACGGGGTGACTGAGCCTGTTTATAAAAGCTGACACACAGAGCTAATAATGGGAAAAGGAAACGGGAGAGGACCGAGTAACAGCTGAAGACAATTAAGGCAAACGGACAGGGAGATAAAACTCAAAGGAAGACACAGAAGACAACGAACGATCACAATAAACCAGGAATCCTCAAATTAAACCGAGGCAAAACGTAACCACTTGACGTAGAAGGAAATGGAGGAAAAGCAAGGAAAATTTGCATAATTAGCAATACTATATAACTCCTAACCAGAAAAAAAGGAGATGTACAGAAACTAAAAACCAAACGATGAAGATACACAAAACCCCTGAAATGACAATCGAAATATAATTATTTGGTTAGATAATTTATCATTTTAAACCTTTAAACAGGGCTAAGGCCTGAACAATTAAGCAAGATTTCAGGGTTATCAAGATAAAATTAAGAGTTGGCCCTTCATTTTTCAGAGCTACAAAGGTACTTCATCACCACAGTAAATTATGGGAAGGGTCTTTCATATGCTAAACTTTCTCTGTACAACCTTGATGAAATTTGCTTTAAAACAGAAGCAAGTATTTATTTATGTTTTATAAACTGAAGGGTTATTTTTTAAATATCAGCCATCTCTTCTGCCTTTTTTATTTCACTGTATCTTATTCAAATGTCTCCCTATTAGTTTTTCTTACCTCCTGCTGCTGCAACACGGAGAAATTTCCCCTCAAGGATCAATACAACTTATCTTATCTACCAAAATGTTATTAATATTAGAGGTAAATACACCTAAACTTGAATTCTGATTTGAGTTAAGACATGCATCTCCTTCTATTTTATCTCTGATTCCTAATCAAAAGGTTTCAGTTTCAGTCTGGTTGGATATTTTCCTCTCTGCCTTCCGGCTGACTGATGATCAGCATGTCGGAGCTCATCTCACCGTTAATGTTATACATGAATTAAGTAAATCCTCCCCCAACACACACATATGCGCATGCTAAAACACCGTCAGCATCACCCGGAAACCTGCTGTGTGTCCGTGGTGTGATTTTCTCACCTGATTTAAACATTAACATCAGAGCTGCTGATATCAGTGATATCATCTGGAGACGTCTATTAGTTTTCACTGTTTAGTCCGTTTAAATAAAGATAACGTCTGTGTGGTACAGGAGGTGAAGAAAAGCAACCACGGAACATAAAGAAGATGATTTTACTCAAAGTTTTTGTAGAAAAGCTTTTTGCAGCTCACACTGATATTGGGTGTTATTCTTATAAAAAACAACAACAACAACAACAGCATTCCTTTATGAAGGAATCTTGGTTGGGCTATAACTATTCCTATGATGATTAGTTGCTAACATGAACAAATTATTTTAAACCCAATGTAGAAATCAGATGGTCATCCTGGCTTCGTATGTAAATAAAAACAGACTGAAATGCTATGAAAATCTTAGATTTAACAAATTTTTGTCTAAAAATGGTACATTTAATATGTTAATATTTTCTTGTGAATAAACTAGATTTCTGAGATTTACAAATCATTATGTTTTTATTTTTTATTTCAGGACTGCAAAACACGTGTGCGTGTGATAGAATAAGAATAATCTCTCCCTCTCTCTC